AGATAGCGGTAATGACTATGATGATTAAATAGTGCTAATGACGACTATGATGAGTTACTATATCATTTATGAAAGAAACCGCAGATTAGTTTCAACTTGATGGATCCTAGCTAGCTAAGTGATCAAGTATATGCCATATCCATATTACTTGCTCACCTAATATAAGTGATTAAGTAATATGGATATGGCATATATAATTTGATCACTTAGCTAGGATCCATGCATGCATCCAAGTTGAAACTAATCTGCGTTACTTTCACCTAATGATTTAACAACTCATTATAATGTAAAAACAATCTTTAAATTAAATTGAAAACACAAAACTAAAGGAAAAATAAAAAATAAAACCAAAACAGCCCAAACATTTAGTACCGGTTGGTGTTGGTGTTACCAACCGGTACTAAAGGTCTCCCGCCACCCGGCCCTGGCTCGTGCCACGTGGTGGCACTTTAGTGGCGGTTCGTGCCGAACCGGTACTAAAGGCGGGGGGGGGGGCCTTTAGTCCCCACCCTTTAGTGTCGGTTACAGAACCGGCACTAAAGCCTAGGGCTGGAATTCGAGCCGAGTCGAGCTAGCTCGGCTCGACTCGCTAGAGCTCGTTTCGTTAACGAGCTAGCTCGACTCGACTCGTTACTATAACGAGCTCAAACCCAAAATTGGCTCGACTCGTATAACTCGCGAGCTGGCTCGTTTAGCTTGTTAAGCTCGTTTAAAATATAAACATAAAGCCTTCAAATATGATAAAAATGATTATGTATATATTAAATATATATATATATCACTATATTGTAATTTTCTTGTAACGCGTGAGTCTCCTAGGAGGCTAGGCCTTCAACTGATCGGCCTTTGGTTGTACGCCTGGGACGTAGGTTGTTTAGTGGCTGATTTTTTTTTGTATTGGGAGTGGCTGATCTATTGTATCGAGCCTAACGAGTTACACGAATACTCGTGAGATTGGCTCGTTTAACTTGGTCTATAAAGGATCTTAAACTAAAGCTCGGCTCGACTCGTTATTCTTCGAGTTCGAGTCGATTCGAGCCGAGTCACGAGCTACTTGTTTAGCTCGCGAGCTTCGAGCTTTTTTTCCAGCCCTACTAAAGCCCCTTATGAACCGGGGCTATAGCCTGGTTCTGCACTAGTACTTCACCATGGGACAATCAAGAAAGAGGTATTTGATGGTCTCGTCTCATAGAACCTGTCCAGTTGCGCTTTGTCAAATTGTCCTTAGTTAAAATAACTTGTTTATGTACAAACCATATAAACACTTTAACCCTCAAAGGTATTTTAACATTCCAAACATGTTTGGAACTAGGAATAGAGCTAGAATTGATCACATCTAAATACATAGATTTAAGCGTGAACTCTCCATTCCTGGTTAATTTCCAGCTCAACGTATCCGGCCGTTGAGAAAGCTGCACATCCATCAGTCTTCTCACCACATGGAGCCAGGCTTCCCAACGTGCTCCGGCAAGCGTTCTCCTAAATTGGATATTGAGGGGAGTGGGCCGAAGCATGTTAGCAACAAGAGCGTCTCTTCGTTGGACGATGCTATAAAGGGAAGGATACTGAAGCGCGAGAGGTGTTTCCCCTAGCCACGTATCCTCCCAGAATCTCGTGGAAGTACCGTTTCGGACTATAAACTTTGTTCTATTGAAAAAGACTGATTTAACACTCATTAGCCCTTGCCAAAAAGGTGAGTCCGTCGGCCTCACTGTCACCTGCGAAAAAGTTTTGGATTGAAGGTACTTGTTACGCAGAATCTGCGCCCATGTGGCCTCCGACTCCACAGATAACTTGTATAGTAAAATTGGGGGAGAATTTCACTTCCCCGGCCTCTGCACCAACTAGGGATGCATACGGCCATTTTAGTATGAGTACCAAGATAAACATGTGGTCCTCAGAATTTTTTAAATGAGTATCAAGATATTTTTTGATGAATGATTCCATAATACACCAAACTTGATCCTCAATAAATGGGGGAAAACCCCTGTGCATCACCTGTCAATTATAGGAATTTGAACACGGGTCGTTAGGCTGCCCAACCGCATGCCCAACCACTGAGCCAAGGCTCTCTTTGCAAACTGGCCCTATCCCCGGTGTTGACAATTTTGATTTGCATGGGAGTTGTTTTAGACCCGATTGTGATTTTATTTCACATTATAGGGTCTTCCTTGCATTTGTCAGGGACCTATTTGCAGTTTCTTTTTTCATTGGGTCTGGTTGTAAGATCCTTTTTGTCGAAGCTAAATCCGACAGATCTCTCAGTAGGGTATCCTAGCTAGATGACTCGATACAATGGTAACAAGGACAATGATCTTACCCAGGTCCAGACTCTTGGGACGGAGGGCTGCCTCCATGTTCGGATGTTTTTTGAGGAAACCTTTTTTTAGCATAAAAGTATCCTTTATTGAAAGTTCAGAAACATAGGGATACAAATAATATCGGGCAGGGTAGCAAGCCACACATGGCGCCCAGGAGGGAGAGAAGCAGCCGCCTTAGCTAAGGCATGTGCTTCCTCATTGTGTTTCCTATTCTCATGCACAAACTGAGTATCTTGGATCGAACGCCTCCTGTGCTTGATCTCCTCCAAGATGGCAACATATCGACAAGGGGCTCCAGTATGGATATTGGTGATCACCTCAAGGCAGTCCGATGCAACACACACGGAGTGAACATGGAGGTCCTCAGCAAGAGCAATAGCCTCGTTGCACGCCTGGGCTTCGAGTATAGTTGGGTCCAGCAAACCTTCAGAAATAACCGCAGAAGCACCCAGAAACTTGCCGTGCTTGTCCCTACAGATCACCGCCGAAGCACCTCGGTCCCCAACTTTGGAAAAACCGCCATCAACATTAATCTTCACTTCATGCTTCGCCGGAGGGAGCCATGTCGTCCGAGCTGACCGGACACACTGCACTGATTCTCCCCCAGCCGTTACATGCAGGTCCCTGGCCATTACATGCAAGTCCCTGGTCCTAGCATGCCGGTCCTTGGATTTTCCATTCCGATCCCTGGATCGTTCCTTCTCACCTGGGATCGCCTCCAGCTCTGATAAAAATTTCTCAATGAACATGTGCGTACTAAGTGGACTTTGGTACTGATCATCGTGGATAGCTCGACGCCGTGCCCACCAAATAGCCCACGTCATCACAAGGACGCGCGCAAGCTCCGCCGAAGGAAGAGTATCAACAAGCCACAGCATCCATAACTTTGCGTCGTCCGCCCGGTTGGAGACAATGGTTTCCATAAGATCTTCATCTGCTAGTGCCCAAACGCATCTCGCCATCTTGCAATCGAATAGCGAATGACGCCAGGTATCCACCGCCACTTTGCATAAGGTGCACTCCGGTGTTTCAGCCATGCTCCGGTGCTTGCGAACTTCTCCTGTAGGGATGGAAGATTTGGCCAATCGCCATGCAAAAATTCTCACTTTGGAAGGGACCGTAGCTCCCCATAACTTTGCCCAAGATCGGCGGTCCGACTCGGGGCCCGAGTGGCCCTCGTTGTGCTCTAACCAGTCCGTCCGCTGTTGCTTTGTGGAGGCCAAGAGTCTATATGCAGACCGTACTGTGAAGACACCCCTTTTCTCATAATGCCAGGACCAAAAATCAGCATGGATTTTTGAGCTTAACGGGATGTTAAGAATTGCTTCGACATCCATGGGGAAGAGGTGCTGATCAAGGACACCTCGGTCCCATGTCATGTTAACTGAATCAATGAGGTCCGAAACCTTGTGAGGAGGATTCATGGACTTCTGGCAAACCGGCCGAAGCTTAAAATCACGTGGAATCCAATTGTCAGTCCATATGTTTGTGTCCTCTCCCGAACCAATCCGTTTGACAAGTCCCAGCTTCAAAGTGTCTCTGCCTTCAATTATGGAACCCCAAATTTGTGAAGGATGATTGCCCACTTCTGCCTCAAGGATGGTGGAAGAAGGGTAGTAGACAGCCTTGAGGATCCTTGCACTCAACAAGGTGGGTTCCTATAGGAGGCGCCAGGCCTGCTTGGCCAGTAATGCAAGGTTAAAAAGCTCGATATCTCTGAACCCCATTCCTCCCATGAACTTTGGTTGTGTCATGACTTCCCAGGAGACCCAGGCAGTCTTTCTCTCTCCCTTTTTTGAGCCCCACCAGAACTTACGTAGCAGCCTGTTAATGTGTTGGCATAATCCTCTAGGCAGTTTAAAACAGGCCATCGAGTAGGTAGGGATGGCTTGGTCAACAGATTTAATAAGCACCTCTTTGCCCCCAACGGACAAAGTTTTCTCCATCCAACCTTGAATTTGCTTCGAGATTCTATCTTTCAAGTACTTGAAAGCACCCTCTTTAGCCCGGCCTACATCAGAGGGGAGACCAAGATATTTCTCAGAGAGGTGCTCGTTTGGAACATCCAACACATTCTTAATATCCTGTCTCACGGCTTCAGCACAGCCCTTGATAAAGAAAACGGAAGATTTATCTTTATTTATACGTTGACCCGAAGCAGAAATGAGGAAACCATGTTCTGGAAATGTAATCCCATTGGCCTGTGTCTGGTTGAGGGCCCTTATGCGGCCTTGAACAGCCAACGATTGAAGACAAAAAAAAAGGCACGGTCAAACAGCCAACGATTGAAGACAAAAAAAAAGGTACATGGGCCTGGCCCATCTGGCCCAAACATACGGCATTTTTTAGTATGTAGCTCTCGATAGTGAAGTGGGAGTGAGCGGAATCGAGTGGAATATTCTGGAACAGAGAAACCCTCCTCCATCTCCATGGCTTGCCGCCGCCGCCCCACCCCGCCGTCGCCGTCGCCGGCGCCGGCGCCGGTGCCTCCGCTCGAGGACGACGACCTCCTCGAGGAGATCCTCCTCCGCCTCCCCCCGCAGCCGTCCTCCCTCCTCCGCGCCTCCCTCGCCAGCAAGCGCTGGCGCGGCCTCGTCAAGCGCCGCCGCTTCCTCCGCCTCTTCCGGCGCCCGCCACGGGAGCCTGCCCCTCCTCGGCGTCTTCCCCGGCGAGGTCGACATGAGCCACCCCTTCTTCACGCCCTCCCTCGACCCGCCCGACAGGGTGCCCGCCGCGCGCTTCCCCATGCCGCTCGCCCCACTCGCCTTCCCCCTCGTCCTCGACTGCCGCCACGGCCTCGCCCTCCTCCTCAAACGGCGTGTCAGCCAGCTCCTGGTGTGGGATCCGGTGACCGGAGACAAGCGCCCTGTGGACCTCCCCCCGGCCTTCAAGGGGCGGCAGGTGATGCTCCACAATGGGTCAGTGCTCTGCACCGCCGCCACCGCCGCGGAAGGCCGCCTGCACGGCAGCTGCAATTCCAGCCCATTCAAGGTGCTGTTGCTGGCCTCTGGCAGAACACATGAGCGATCCTTCTCGGTCTGCGTCTACTCATCGCAGACAGGCGCATGGGGCGATGTGATTTCAGCAGAGTTTCAACCTGCCGCAATGGAGCCTCTGTATACTGCATCCGAGCTGTACATGTACGTCCCCAGTACCTTGGTTGGGAGCTCCATCTACTGGCTGCTTCGTGGCAATGGCGACACCATCGTCGAGTTCGATATGGATAGCCGGACCCTAGCTGTGATAGAGATGCCACTAGATCTGTATGACCATGGTATATCCAGCTCCTTCATGACTATGCCAGCGCAGGATGGTGGGCTTGGCTTGATCCTTGTGAATGACTTCTATGCCAAATTATGGAAGAGGGGGGCTGATTGCAATGGTGTCGCTATATGGGTGCCAGGAATAACTATTCAGCTGGGCAAGCTTCTTTCACTGAATGCTGAGCACAACAGAGGTCCACTGTCTTTGTTGGGATTTGCCGAGGACAGCAATGCGTTCGTGGTTGAGGCATCTAGGATCGGTATCTTTCTGGTCTATCTCAATCCTCTGGGTTTAAGAAGATTTATGAAAGGAGGGATCTCTGTAATCTTTCATCCATTTGAGAGTTTCTCTGTTGCAGGTAATGTCTTTGTATCGTATTTGACTCGAACTAATGTTATTGTATGGCACATCTTGTTATGAGGTAGTGTATTTGGGAAGTCGTCTTTTCCTTGCCCTTTCTCTCTTCTTTTTAATTGCCTCCCCTGCGACCATGGCCTTCTGCCGGCACCTCCCTTGCATAGCACTATATTTAGCCAATTTTTTGTGATATTGTGATGTTTACAAGAATGTTTTGTAAGATCTCTTATTTTGGTAATATTATTTGCCTGGCAATGACTACCATGGTGGCATTGTAAGCTAATGGGCAACAATTTTTTTTTACAAATACAGTTAGAGAAAGGTTCAGGAATCAGGAGTGGGTGAATTAGCACACTTATCCCAGCACTTTAGGTTACGATGTCCACTATTTGATGGAGCATGTAATTACCAGTGAATAGCATTGCTGGCTGGATTTAGTGAAGGGCATAACCTGAAGCATTTCTTGCACCTTGGCATTTCAGAAGTTGCATTCAGAAGATAACCTGGAAATTATGCTTGCCTTGCCAGGCCCTGTCCCAGGCAGCCCAAAGCCAAGATTGTTTAGTTGTTGAATGCTACTCCCTCCGTCCGGAATTACTTGTCATCAAAATGGAATTAGTTCAAGTATTTTCGGACGGAGGGAGTATGTAGAGGAGCAGTTCGGAAGATCTTTTGGGGGCAATGCTGGGAAATATCTTTCTCGCTGATCACTGCTAACAAAATTTACACTGCCAAGTCAATGTATAGAGCTATGGCTTAGAGGAGAGCTTCCAGCATGCATATGAAGATTTTGTGGAGGTCATGGGTTCAAGTCCTGGAAACAGCCTCTTACAGAAATGTAGGGAAAGGCTGCGTACTATAGACCCAAAGTGGTCGGACCCTTCCCTGGACCCTGCGCAAGCGGGAGCTACATGCACCAGGTTGCCCTTTTTTTTTGTATTCCTGAAAAGTTAAAACAGGGTATTCAGGACAGGAGGTCCCTCCTTGCTAAGGGAGCAACTTCGAAAGAGAGAAGGTATAGGCAATGGGAGGGCTTTGCTCTGTTTTGGGCGATGTGGCGTACGTACTCGTAGCGACCTGAATTTTTGTTTTGTTTTGTTTTGAAGCCAAGCTTCTCTGCTAACTTGTTGACGTCAGCGAAAGAAGCCAGCAATACTGGATGCCATTTTTCTTCACTCGAGAGTGAATGGGAGTTTGGTGTAGCTGCCCAAAAGGCCCATAGGTACATATGTTGGTCTCGAGCATAAGTGACTTTAGAGCCAGTTTGGTTCCAAATAAGTCACCAACTTATAAGTCAAAAAGTGAAAAAAGTGATTTATTTTGCCAAACAGACCCAATTTATAAGTCATAAGTTGCTCCACTCCAACTTAAAACTTATAAGTCACCTCATTTTGCGTGGGTCCCATCACATCCATGATGTGGATTGGTGTGGGAAGGTGTGGTCAGGTAACTTATAAGTCAGGTGACAACCAAACAGTTGTGACTTATAAGTCACTGATTTTAAGTCCCCTGACTTATAAATCAGGTAACTTATTGGAACCAAACAGGCCCTTATACTGTTGCAAAAACGTCCGAGAGGAAATTACTCCTTCCTCTTTTTGGGAGCTCCTATTTGGCGCGTGAGGCGCTGGCGAACATGCCAGCGCGCACCCTCTCTCCTAATTTTTTTAAAAAGTGAATTTTCAAAAAAACAATCCAGAAATCATAAGATGTTCCTTGTTTAAAAAATGTTCATGATTTTGAAAAAGATGACTGCGTATTGAAAAAATGTTCGTGAATTCAAAAATATTCATGAATTTCACAAAAACCGTTCATTGATTCAAAAAATGTTCGTGGTTTCAAAAAACTGCGCGTTGATGTATGAAATTTAAATTCGAGAACATTTTGAGAATTTGATAAAAAAATTGAGTTTGATGAACAAATTTGATTTTTTTGAACATATTTTAGAAGTTTCATTAACATGTTTAAAATATGGTGAATTTTTTTAATTCAATGACCAAAAAATGATTTTAAGAAAATGTTCATCGATTGTTTTTTTCAATATTTCGGTAAAATAGTCACAACTTTGTAAAAAACGAAAAAGAAAAAAGAAAATAAAAAGAAAAAATAGAAGAGAAAGGAAAAGAAGAAGAAAAGAAAGGAAAATGAAAAATCCGG